AAATTATCAAGGGTTTATGAGGGAGGGAGGGAGAAAAAAGAGAAGCTGATGCCAGGGGCTCAAGTAGAAAGAACATGTTTTGAAGATGCAGATGGCAGCACATGTCCACAGGTGCTTGGTGTGCCCAGCTGGTTTTCCCTGGTGATGCGCCTTACATCGGGGCCAGAATATTTTAAAGACAACATAACTAAATGGAATCTTTTATTTTTTCTTACACATTTCCTAAAGGTCACACTCTTCTCCTTCTGATCTCTTTGTCAGAAAATCCAAGCAGAGATTTCAGCCCACGAGCTAACCCTGGAGGAATTGAGAAGAAACATGCGTCCTCAGCCCCTGACACCCCCAGACGGCAGGACGGCCAGAGGAGGCTCTCAGATGGATGTGCTGCAGGTGAAGAGGCAGAGCAGCTGCCTTGTGCTTTCAGTCCAGTGTTCACCAAGAGAGACTTGGGAAGTGTTGAGTACTTGGGTATTCCCTGATACCAAAGCAGGGGACTAGGTGTGGTGTGTTGAAGGCACGTGCTTCCTAGGGAACAGAAACAAATCACTGCACGCAGGGACATATTGAACCTGACTTTGATTGGTGATGAGAAGAGAGACACCCGGACAGGAGGAGAGCTGGGTTTAGAAGTTAGTTTAATATGTTGGTGTTCAGAGTTATTGCATTGATTCGGACTTATAAGTGACTCTGAAAGGGAGAAGAACTGCTCCTTTGGGTGTTTTTGGTTGTTGTGTCCCCCCCGCTCAGTTTACTAAATTGCATTAATTCTGTTGTTACTATTGAAAGTATATGCAGGAAACTATGCCAGGGATTTTCCCATAGAGCTGCTGGGTGGGACTGGACTGCCAATCACTCCGTTAGTAGACTTTCTTTTCAAGGCGAAACCCTGGTCAGTTCTGAGTTAGCTGCCTTCAGGCAGGCGGAGCACGAATGGAGCGTAGCACCACTTAGTTCCTTAATAGGTAAGCGGACACTGCCTTTCAACCCGAGTCTGTGAGGAAGGGTATTTGGAGTTCCGGGCTCCTGAGGTTTATTTTCCAACTGGTGAGAAAGTTCCTGAAGTTTCACCTTTATTATTTGTTTATTGTTATTTTTATTTGTAAGACTGACAAGTAATTCGTGAAATTGGGCTGTGCCATGCACTCAGGTGACCCCATCAGCTCACCACATTGGTTTATGATATTTAGGACCGTCTGTCACGCTCCCCGGTGCTGTTAGTGGTGCTTTATTTTACAGCTTCTCAGCAGCCCTACTTACAGGGAAGTCCTCAGAGGAAAGGGGCTGTCGTTCGAGGTGAGGTGCTTATTCTTCTTATCTCTGCCACCAGAGGAAATTTCGAGAGGTATCCACAAAGTTCCAGCTCTTCCAGAAGCCTGCTAACTTTGAACAGCGCATGCTGGACTGCCGGCGAGTGCTGGATGGGGTGCGAGCCGAGCTGCACGTGCTGGAGGTGAAGGACGTGGACCCCGATGTCTTGCAGACCCACCTGGACAAGTGCATGGTGAGCCTGTGGGTCGCGAGCTTGTCTCGGGTGTTTCTCAGGGCCAAGTCTGTGGCTCAGTCTTGTGCTTATGCACATGCTTTAGTCGACGATGGCTCGTCTGCAGTATGCTAAACACAGGGATGGGTTATAGCAGCAAAGGGTTAAAAATAAGGATGGTGGCCCTCTCCTCATGACATGTATAAGAGATAGGCGAAATCTCAGTCAAACCAAGCCCCTAGCTATTGAGTAGCTCTACTATTGCCCGCTGTGTGTCAAGAGTAGAACAGTGCTGCACAGGGTCCTCAGTGGTGGCTGTTTGGGAAGTAGATCGCCAAGCCTTTGTTCCAGAGGGACTCTGGGTGAACTCACACCGACCACCTTTTGGCTAGCAGGCAAGCAATTCACTGATGACACCCTTGACTATAATGAGATAAGAGCTATATAACTGATAGGTACACAAGATGATGAGAAGTAGGCTGCGGTTAAGTGCTGCTAAGGCCATCTGACTTATAGTGACCCTTCGTACAGAATGAGATCCTGCCTGATCCTGCACCATCATTGCTGCTGTGCCTGGGCCCGTCATGACAGCCACTGGGTGGATCCATCTTATTGAGGGTCTTCCTCGTTTTCAGTGTCTCTTTCTATTTTTCCAAGCATAATACCCCTTTCCAGGGACTTGTCTCTGTCCAGAGTCTATGAGAGGAAGTACCGCTATCCCTTCTTCCGATAGATTGGTTTGTTTTTTGCCATCCGTTGTACTTTTGAGGTTCTCCACGAGCACCATAATGCATAAGAATTGCTTCTTTAGTCAATGTCCAACTTTTACATGCATAGAAGGCTTGGGTCAGGCACACCATACTTTGAGGCTATTAAACCCACCCCCTAATTATAGTATCAATTTAGGGAAGACTTCTGTCTATCAGGTATGATGAATGAGCTAGGTTTTAAAGATAAAATTGAGGCTAGAAGAAAATATATAGAGAATGGATGTTATGAATATCTCAGAGCAAATTAAAAATCTCTCTTTAAAGGGTAAAAATTCAACTTCTCATTTATAAAGTTCAAGCCTAAGACATAAAGGAAGAAATTATACTTAAACCAAATCTTACCAAAAAACCCCCAAATAAAAAACAATCAAACTCACTGCCCTTGAATCCATGCCGATCCTATAGGATAGGGCAGAGCTTCCCCTGTGTGTTTCTGAGCCGGTAACTGTTGACAGGAGCAGAATGTCCCTCCATTCCCCCATGGAGCGGCTGGTGGTTTCAAACTACTGACCTTGTGATTGTCAGCCCAATGCATAACTCTGATGCCACTCAGGCTCCTTGGGAAATATTGTAGAATAAAAAAAATTACCTAGGAAAATAAAATTTTGACTTTTAATTTATAAAGTGAGGGCTGCGATATGAAAGAATAAATGCTATATAAAACCTATGACTGTTTTATTCTTGAACCTTATAGTTCAATTGGATAAATCTAACTCACTGCCACTGAGTCTATGCCAACTCACAGCGACCTTATAGGACAGGGTAGAACCACAGTGGATCCCCGAGATGATCACTGTTCATGGGAGTAGAAAGCCCGTCTGTCTCCTGAGGAGCAGCTGGTGCTTTCCAACGGCCGACCGTGCGGATGGCGACCCAATGTTCCACTGCTCGGGCTACACCAGGGCTCCCTCGAAGTTTAACATCATGAAGCTGGAAAGCCACAGTCAGAATTAG